AAAAAAACATTGGCAACACCAATTAAACTGTGATGCTCCTAAAACATGCAAAAACATTTGTATGAAAAAGAGATAATTTCAGTGGTGATACACCACAGACAAAAAATGGCACTTGCTGCTTGGGTTGGAATACCAGATCCACTCGTTTTTGGAAAAATTATGATCAAAGCGGAGTGAAAAAGTGTAAAACGTAGTAGGGGTTAAAATTTATTATAACGCAGCGGTCAGCCAAACGGACGTAAAATTTTGTCTAGGGTGCGTAGACTTTTATCAAAAGAGAATATAGTTAAAAAGCTGTAGGACAAAAACTGGTATAAAAATACCAGCAACAATAAGAAACAATCGGAGAGCTTTGAAATTGCTTAAAATAGACAGCAAAACACTAAAAACTGATATTCTGCGAAAACGGAAGGAAAGACAAGATGCTGCAAGCTGAAGTTTGAGAGCGCGAAAACTGATACTAGTTTCTACTATATAGGAAGTCGGGCACACCATTACTGATAGCAGTTAACGTCAACCTGACTCTCGAAGACATTTTCTCCGAAAGAACTGCAGCTTATGTCAATATCGGAATCATTTTGAAATGCAAAATCATCTTGTTCCACGGTCTGATCTGACGTACAGGCATCGCCCCTGCAACGGCCGTTTATCCACCACTATTTTGTAACTTCGCTCAAGCATTTCGGAGAAAATAAAATTACGTCAAATTCCAGAAAAAAGTATACCAAACAGAAATGATAAGTGATACCTCGGCTAAGGTGCTGTAGGGATCTAAGTATCACTAGAAGTACCTTTCGACTCCAGTAATTTTTTCATTGTACATCTCCCGCATGTCAATCAGTTTGTTCTCCAGCTGGGCAGTGGACCACAACTGATAACCATCAATGCCAGCTCGTTTCACGACGATAAATGGCTCGCACACAAAGGCACCTTCCTGAATCCGAATTAAAAAGCAATGCAGAAAGACCCAATGAGTAAGAGAACACATATATTTTCAAAATATTTCGAGATATTTATAAAGCAATCCATGAAATTATCAGCTGAGGGCACACATAGTTTATATGAAATTATCAGCTGAGGACACCTACCCTAAACTCCCTGGCCATCACTACCGAAATTTTGGTTATATGTGTACATTGAAAGTGTATATTTTAAGAAATAGAACATTAACCCTCTCATCATCTCCACGATCTCATCCTTTTAACATTATAACCCAAGCTGGAACGCACCGGCGGGCCCATGCGATCATCCGTTTTTTCACCGGACTTGAAGTACTCAGGTCATTGACTGCATGAATGGCTTTGCTTTACACCTACCTTTTGCGGCCACTAGCATAAATCACCAAAAATTTTCCATAAAGTAGATGTACAATTTCCATTTAACAAACGTTCTTTAAAAGTAACCTAGTTGCTCAGTCAGATATTCAACTAAAATTTTAAGCACCCACACGTAAGAGCCACGCGTAACTCAAGGCTGAATTTGAAATACTTAATTTATACTTGGACAGGGGACATCCCCTCTAAAATTTCAGCCTTCCAGCTTTTCTAGTTGTCGAGTTAATAATTTTTCCGCCAAAAATTTTACATGCCCGTGAGTGGGTGCCCAACGTACCTGGAAGGCTGGATTTGAAATTTTTAGATTGCACTTGGACAGAGAATATCCTCTTAAAATATTAGCCTTCCAGCTCTTCTAGTTGCCGAATTAGTGATTTTCCTGCAGAAAATTCCATATACCCCCTTACGTGAGTACCACGCACGATTTGTGGCTGAATTTGAAATATTTGAGTTTTACTTGGATGGGGAAAATCCCCCCAAAGTTTCAGCTTTCTAGCTTTCCTGCTACCCGAGTTAGCAATTTTCCCCCTAAAACTTTCATACGCTCTTACGTGAGTACTACGCAAACCTGGGGGCTGAGTTTGAAACCTTTAGCTAGCACATGCACAAGGAAACCTTTAGCTAGTACATGCACAGGGAATATCTCTACAAGGTTTCAGACCCTTAGCTCGTGTGGTTTCCTAGATAGCTCTCCCGTCAAAGAATTTGCATATTTTTTTAAAGCGGCCGCACGCAGCACCCAGGCGTCAGCGGGGGATGAAATTAAAATGGAAGGGTCGCGTATGGTATAGGTACATATCCTCAAAGTTTCAGCCTTCTAGCTTTTCTGGTTCTCGAGTTGAAAGTGGGTGACATAAAGTGCGAACACACAGACACACATACACACAGACAGCCTCTTCCGAATATGCGTTTTTGTAATTTACATATGTGCAAAAACGCGTAAAAATATCAATTGTGGTATATGCATGTATAATAAAGCTGTATATAGTAAAAGTACATTAAAAATTAAATCAACAAGGAAGTTTCGGCCCAACAAGCTGTATACATTCTTATTCAGCACCACAGTTAGACTTCATCGGCACAGCGGTTATCGTGTTGATAGAATAAATACGTATAATAAATCTTTAGATAGATAGGTTAAAATATGTGTAGGAAATAGGTTAAATTTGAAAAGGCAAGAAGAGAATTATACCACGATTGCGTAATATATTTAACCAGCCATTAGCGATATGATTTAACCAGCATAATCATTTGTATGTAGTGTGTTTGTTCACCTTAATTTTGGAAGGTCGCAAATTCGCTGCCGGAATCTGCAACGTGACGTCGTAGGTGATGGGCCGTCGACAGAGGGAGAGCTCACTGGCAATCATATTCGCCTCACGAGCCAGTGCATTTGCTCGAACGATGTCGCTTTTCAGGCGAGCCAAATTCTCCTTGAACATTTCTTCCCTGAAAATTTACTTGTATTAAATTTTAGTTTCTTAAAATAATTGACTGCCAACTGCAGGAAAAATTACACGTTAAAAATAGCGTGGAAATTCGCTGTTGGTCATATTAGGCAAAATATGCGAAAGAAATGTCACAACCATCAAATCTTACTACTTGGGTAAGCAGAACAACATTATATTTTCCTCCAGAATCGTCCACTCCAACGTACAGCACTTTACTAGTAATGATTGGATAGCACATGCTAACGAAAGGAACTTGTGTTAGAGAGAAATTCGAAGAAGTTTCCAGTTAGGGTTTCATTATGGTAACCAAGAAAACGTGACAACGGTCAAGGAGAGCTAAAACTGGTCTAAAAACTCCTGATATCGAAGCTGGCTGCAGTGTTTCCAGACCAAGTTTGTTTGTTGACGACACTGTGAATAAATTTTTATACGTTTTTACATATATGCAAATTGCAAAAACGCATACTGAGAAGCTGCCTGTGTGTGTGTGTGTGTGTGTGTGTGTGTGTGTGTGCGTGTGTGCCTGTGTGCGCCTGTGTGTTCGCACTTTTTGCCACCCACTTTCAACTCGAGAACCAAAAAAGCCAAAAGGCTGAAACTTTGGGAGTATTTGCCAATACCATGCGCAACCCTCCCGTTTTAATACCATCCCCCGCGGATGCCTGGGTGCCGCCTATGGACGCTTTAAAAAAATATGCAGATTTTTTCGCGAAGAAGCGATCTCGGGAAGCAGACAAGGTAAGGGGCTGAAACTTTTTAGGGATATTTCCTGCGCATGTGCTGGCTAAAGATTTCAAATTCAGTTCCCAGCTATGCATGGTACTTAATCATAAGGGCGCATGAAAGTTTTGGCGGGAAAATTGCTAATTCGGAATCCCGGGAAGCTAGAAAGCTAAAATTTCGAGGGAATGTTCCCTGTCCAGGTAAAACCTAAATATTTCAAATCTAGCCCGCAGGTATGCGCGGCTCTTACGTACGATTTGACGGGAGAGTTGTTGACTCCGCAGTCAGAAAAGCTGGGAGGCTGAGGCTTTAGGGGGATGCTCCCTGACCGCTTGCAATTTAAAAATTTCAAATTCGGCTTTTTAGACACGTACAGCACCTACGTACGGGCATGCGAAAGTTTTGGTGGGAAAATTGCTAACTCGGCAGCCAGAAAAGCTGGAAGGCTGAAATTTTGGAGGAATGTCCCCTGTCCAAGTACAACTCAAATATTTCAAATGCAGCCTTGAGGTATAAGCGGTTCTTAAGTAAGGGCACTTAAAAGTTTTGGCGGAAAAATTTTTCACTGAACAGCTAGTTTATTTTTAAAGAATGATCGTTAAATGGAAATTGTATATTTACTTTATGCAAAATTTATGGTGATTTATGCTATTGGCCGCAAAAGGCAGGTGTAAAGCTACAACCATTCATGCAGTTAATGACTTAGGTACTTCAACTCCAGCACAAAAACGCATGATTGCACGAGTCCGCCCGTGCGTTTCAGCCTGGTTTATTTTATAGTGTTAAAAAAATTTGTTATCTTTGTGCCTCATTAGAATTTGTAATTAAAAGAACTATCAAAGTCAATATTTGTCATTGATGTTGATGGGTGAAACTGAAATCAATTTTCAGTTTATTAAAAGATAAATATAGGGTAAACAGTGATTTAAGAGACTAACTGAAAGAGAATAAAGGAAGTTTGGAAAATTTTACACTATTTGCAGTAAATCCGTAAATTTACTCACCGTTTCTGAGCCCAATTGAAAAATTTAGATCGTACGCTAGCTCTCGGGTTAGCTGGAAAACCGATAGGTGGAAACTGGCTTCCGGGTGTGCCAAGAGGTGTCAGATATCCGAAGTTTGGTGTCATTGGTGTTGATGGGGTGAAGCTGAAATCAATTTTCAGTTTATTTGCAGTACCACACAAAAAATGTGTAGGAAGCATTTAAACTCAAATAAGTTGTTGAGGCGTCAGTGGTAACAAGAAAGCGACAGTTTAAGGAAATTATTCCAAAAAAGAGAAAAGACAGGCCTTTTTTGATTCAACAGTGAACGGCAAAATCAGATTTTGGGAAGCTGCAGATAAAAACCGAAAAAGTACAAGTCAGCAGCAAAGCCTTAAACAAGATAAGAGGAGCTAAAGCCAGAGGGCTTTCAAAATTGCAATTTAGGAAGACGCATCTTTCGCCTTATTGGCAAATGCAAACCAGGAAGGAAGTGAGAATGGGAAGGAGCAAATAGAAAGAAGGACCTCTGAGTAAGTCCCTGAATATAACGTTCAAACGCCTCATATTGCTGTTCCAACGCCGCCTGCTTTGCTTCCTAGAAGAAAACGATTAAATATTTGTCAGAAGGAAGTTCACTTTTCCAGGGCACATTAACGAAATACAGACTAAAAGAAAAACTAAATCGATTTCA